GCTCCAGTACCTCTTCATCTTTCTGGAACCGGGGAGCCCAGAACTGGACACAGTACTCTAGATGAGGCCTCACCAGGGCAGTGTAGAGGGGAAGGAGAACCTCCCTCGTCCTGCTGGCCACACTCTTCTTGATGCACCCCAGGATCCCATTGGCTTTCTTGGCAGCCAGGGCACACTGCTGGCTCATGGTTAACCTGTCGTCCACCAGGACACCCAGGTCCCTCTCCGCAGAGCTGCTCTCCAGCAGGTCCACCCCAAGCCTGTACTGGTGCATGAGGTTGTTCCTCCCCAGGTGCAGGACCCTGCACTTGCCCTTGTTGAACCTCATCAGGTTCCTCTCTGCCCACCTCCCCAGCCTATCCAGGTCACGCTGAATGGCAGCACAGCCTTCCGGTGTATCTACCACACCTCCCAGTTTGGTGTCATCAGCAAACTTGCTGAGGGTACATTCTAACTCTTCATCCAGGTCGTTGATGAAGAAGTTAAACAAGACTGGGCCCAGTACTGACCCCTGAGGGACACCACTAGTTACCAGCCTCCAACTAGACTCAGCGCCCCTGATGACAACCCTCTGAGTTCTGCCATTCAGCCAGTTCTCAATCCACTTCACCGACCACTCATCCAGCCCACACTTCCTCAGCTTCCCCAGGAGGATATCATGGGAGACTGTGTCGAAAAATGCGAAGTTAATGCGAAGTATTCTGAAAGGACTAAAAAGTAGGATTAGAATCCAAGAAGAAAAAGCCCTATTAGTGTGGGGAGACATCAGTGAATTACTAAATGATGACATCCGCCAGCTCTCTCAGCACTCGTGGGTGCATTCCATCGGGGCCCATGGATTTGTGGACGTCCAGATCACTTAAATGATCCCTCACACAGTCCTCCTCGACCAAGGGAAAGTCGTCCTCTCTGTAGGCTTCTTCTCTTACCTCCAGGGCCTGGGATTCCCGAGGGCCAGTCTTAGCACTGAAGACTGAAGCAAAGAAGGCATTCATTAGCTCTGCCTTCTCCGCATCCTCCGTCACCAGGACACCCGCCTCATTCAGCAGCGGCCCCACGTTGTCCCTAGCCTTCCTTTTGCTGCTGATGTAGTTGAAGAAGCCCTTCTTGTTGTTTTTGACATCCCTTGCCAGCTTCAATTCCAGGTGAGCCTTGGCCTTCCTCGTCGCATCCCTGCATGCTCTCACCACGTTTCTGTACTCTTCCCAAGTGGCCTGCCCCTCTTTCCACATTCCATGGACAATATAACAGACTTAAGAAAACCACAACTCCCTGCTGCTCTGCAGAACTTCGTTCAGTCTTCTCTTGGGGCACATTTATCCTGTGACAATTATCTCTGTCAACATGGGAAAGACGCCTCCTACTTCACAACAGCCCTCAGTCACCAAATAAAATAACTATTAAATGAATGTATCAGTAAGTTAAAAAAATGTATAAAGTCATTTGCATGGTGTTCCAGACACGCAGTAAGAAATGAATAAACCATGTATTGCTCAAATAAGAAGTACATAAATTCCATTTAACTGCTTTTACTCAGCCTACACCATTGCTTTTACTCAGCCTACACCATTGCTCCACACTAAATGCCTTTCTACTTTTCAGTTTAGTCTGTTTTTAAGAAAGGGCTCCAAAAGACCTAGCGTAAACAGTGAAAATAATGGGCAGAACAACAAAAAGCATCATGAAAACTATTATAAAATACATTTGCTTAAATTTCACACTTCTTTTGAACAGCTTTTCTATGTAAATTGGAAACACCAGTGTAAAAGCTGCCAAAAAAAACTTCATCCCTAACCTGGCAGACAAGCTGTTTATAATGCAACTTAAATCACATCCCAGCACATGATCACCATCTAGTAAGCAGCAAGTTCTGATTTTTTTTTTTAATGGGGAATAACGTCTGCTAGATTACTTTTAAAAAAATTTTAAAAAAATCACATTCAGGTGTACCAAGTTCCACTGTGGATCATAATTCTGCATTACACAGAACATAGCCGAACCAACAACAAAGTAACAAAATTCAGGAACAAACACTGTAAAGGGTTAGTCTCAATTCAGCTGTAACTGAGATCAAGAATTACCAGAAATAGTTACAACAGTTTTTAAAAAATCTCTCATGCCACAAGTCTTACCTCTGCTATAAATGTCTCCGGTACTAGGGTTTGTAAGAAATGGCAGGAAGTCATCAAAGTGACCTTGCATATACTTTGCTGTTTGGTTCCTCAGAGTTGCAACAGTCCAGGAATTCTGGCAATCCTTGAGCTGATCTTCAATAGCTCTGTACATGCAGTGGCCATCTGAAGGGATCTGTTTAATCTCTAAATGTCTTGCTGCCAATAAGGAGGCAAGTTTCTGACTTTCAAGATGTCTAGCACCCGTTAAATTTTCTATCTCAGCTTCAGCTATCCTTTCTTCTCTCTCCTTCTCCAATGCAGCTTTTTTTTCCTTCGATTAAAAATACATAAAAATTACACCAAATGTTAAAATTTAGAAGATGCCTGTACAGTTCTTGTCTTAGTGTTTGCTTCTAAGTCTTCACATTTTCTCAGTACATTCATATCTGTGAAATTTTCTCTTGAATCAGCGCTACCAAATCTTAAGAGACCACCTAAACACAAACTTTAGCAAATGGTGAGTGACCAATATATCCTTACTGCCTCTGACACCACACCCAAAATTACGTGCGAAGAGAAATCTTAATTATATCAACATGCAAAATAACACTTTACAACATGCATAAAAAGGCTATTAGCAGTAGTTATTTCTTCAGGATCACCTATTTCACCACACTGGCAAACAACTCAAGTATGGGAATTCTAATTAAACAACAGAAAATATTGCTCTTTCATATTAAGTGTGAGATCCACCACTTACGCATACGATTGCATAATGGAGCTCACATCATGAAACTGAAACTCCCTCAGGCTAGGCACCATACATCATAATAGACTGCTCCTAACCTACAGGACGGACAAGCATGCATACAGACTATACTAGAAGGGATGTCATAATACATAACATAAAAATGACTTCTACAGAATGCTCTGTAAATTCACGCTTAACAAGGGAATAAGAGTCAAAGTAAACAAGCAAATAAAAAAGGAAGCCGTTCAGAGAATTATATTCTTACTTTCACACTTAAAATTGATCACAAAACAAGACCAGAACAATTTAGGTGACCAAAGTACAGGAAAACTAGACTACAGAGTTTCTAGTTCGCCTAGACATGCCGCGATGAATTAAGAACACCCTCTTATCACGTTTGTTACGAGGCAGCTCTGCAGTAATGATCGTGTTAACAGGGGATGGACTCTGCAATAAAGCAGTGCTCCTCTGGCCCTGAACCAACATTCATGCAGGGACAATGAGAATGTTAATTCACCGCAATTTAACATCTGAAACCTAAGAAGATCTAACCCTCACGGCTTGGACGCCCAGTAGTGTTTCTTAACAACTCAGAAATTTACAAGAATATCAGTATAACGTTATTTCGTTAAATGTGTAAAGCTCTACTACTTGCATGTTTTCCATGTAGTATTTCACATTATTTTAACTCAATTACTTCTTTATTAATGTTTTTGGTGAAATTCTTTTAAAATCATTTGCTTCACACCATTTGTTTTTCCTGCCTCCCATCTCCTGACCTATTCCGATTCCCAGCTCACAGCTGAGGATAAAAAAGTACAACTATTTATAATATGCTTACATATCTCTAGGTAGCAGCTTCACAGATTTTCAAGGCACCCAGCAGCTAGAGCATCAACACTGAACTAGCCAAGTAATGTCCCCTGCAAAATTGTTTAACTTTGGTTACTGCAGTTAAGTTTAAGTGAATATAACTTAAATCAAATATCTGTAAAGTTTTTAAAAGTTGTCATACCCGCCTCTTCTGTGCTTTTGATATTCGAGGATGCTGAATCTGTTGCTCTGCTCCTTCCAGCTCTAGATTTGCAACCCCATCAGCTACAGAATCTGTCTAAAAAGAAAAAAAAAAAAAGTTAAGCGTTCTTATTAGTACAAATGATAACAGAGATGTGCACCTCCTGAAATAGTTTTAAGTCCTGCTCCTAGGTAATTCCAGGATATATTTATGAAGTTTAACCACAAAGACCTGTGTCTAGCACAGAACCTGTCAAAGCCAAAAGTAAAGCATTTGACATCCCAAACCACTGTCATGCATTTTATTACTCTTTCTGTAGTCTCAACAAAGAGACAGTTATGAACTGCGCATCTCAAATTCAATCTATACATTCTCTTACAAGCTTCCACACTGAAGCGTGAACACGGCTTGCAGGCCGAACGGGAAAGCTGCCCTCACCATAGCAGCTAACTAAAGCACCCTAACAGCCATTACCAAGTTCTGTGACAATTCAAGCAGGAGAAGGCTCACCTTCCATACCAAAGCATAACCAGCTGTTGGAAAAGACAGGGAGTTGACAGTGCTCAAGCAAAATGACAAAGCTAACCCCATGGCGGTATGAACTAGATGTCACCCTTGGAAGCATGGACATGTTTCAATCCAAAGAAAAAAGCTGAGGAACTGAAAGAAACCACACATCTCAAAACAAAATCCTCTCAGGCAAAGCTATGTCCAGGGCAAGAATTTTAGCTTGCAACGTCCTCCATCAAAGTTTTGACAGCTCACTCAACAAAATAAAACACACTCTTGAAACTAACCTAAGATACAGGTAAACAGAAGCATTATGTTTATTGTTTATGCATTAACCATCTGCTTAAGCATCTGATTAAAAACTACTACAGAAGATTGTTCTAGGTTCTGAACTCTCACAATTGAAAACTTTTTTTTCACAAGGATTCTCAGACTTGATTGAGAAGCATCTGTTATTTCCCTAAAAGTTGTTCAGAAATGTCTTCACCCTCATTTTCAAATACAAGTGCATTCTGCTTAACACTTTGTTAGGTCACTAATCAGAAAACACCTAGTCCAGAAAGCATCAGGCAGACAGGTTTTTGTTTCTTTACAAGATTTAAACAGCCAAGATACACGCACTGCTACGGAAACATTTAAGGAGATACAGGAGCATGGAGCATTAGCATCATTCACAGATTAACTCTATTGCACCAATTTAGCCATAAGTTCTACTTCCATTTAGGTAGGAGAAAGTATATGAACAGGCCTGTTTGCACAAATGGTCCTTAAAACTCAGGCACATGATACAAACAGAATTTTTTTCAGTACTGGATACACACAATTAAATCTATGGATTGCAAATTCACTATGACAGGAGTTTCCAACACTCTACTTAAGTGCTAAAACATGTGTGACAAAAAAATTCACCTAAATATTTAGTAGTATCTAATTTACTCATGTGGTCATACTTC